AGCAGCAGGTGCTGGGACCCTCCAGATCCCAGGGAAGTACTCCTGACCCCCCCCCTTACATGGACCCAGTGGTATTCCATCATCTCAGACAGGACACTCTGCAGCCAGCTCATGATCAGACCTGGTAGACCCATTGAAATCAGGAGGAGCTGGGACCCTCCAGATCTCAGGCACTAGGGAAGTACTCCGGACCCCCAACTCCTTACATCAGGGGTCTCAAACCTGCGGCCCTCCAGCTGTGGTGAAACTACAAATCCCATGATGCATCTCTCTTCGGGAGTCATGTCTGTGGCTTTGAGGATCTTGCAATGCCTCATGGGATTTGTAGTTCCACCCACACAGCTGGAGGGCCGGGGGTTTGAGACCCCTGCATTACATGGATGGACGTGCAGTTCAGTTTCAATCCCATGGCCTGGACCCTTTTGGACCCCCATCATCTCAGGCAGGGTACTCTGCAGCCAGCCAATTTACCAGACTACCCGGAGGAAACCCATGCAACTACAGGAAGAACATGCAAACTCCAGCACTTGGGAGTTCCTGGGATTTGACTTGGGACGTCCTGTGCTGACTACCGAGTCATTGTGCTGCCCACCGTGGCCGGAGTGAGACCATATAGTCCATTACTGGTGACCGTGGTCTGAGCTCCGGCCCTTCAGTCTAGTACTCCGTAATGACTCGCAGTGTCAGATGAGACGCAGAGGGGAGGGGAGGTCAGAGCGCTGGGACCTTTCTGTTGATCTTAGATCTGCACATGTGCCGGCCATGTCGGGGCTGTTGGGTAGCTCTGAGTGGATCCTTCCGGGAGAACCCCCGGGGACTTTCAGCAGACGGACCTGAGACAGTCAGAGGTATCGTTCCTGTCAGATCCCTGCCAGCATCCCGTGTCTCTTGGTGGTCTGGAGGTCTTCAGGAGAGTGTGACACGTGCGGTAGAAGCTGTGATCTCATGAAAGGTTTTCCCTTCAGTCTTGCACCGTTGTACCGGCTCCTCTCCTCTTACTCTGATGTCACTGCACACTGCGAGCCTCTCAATGTGCATTAAAAACGGCAGCAAGTCAGATGCCTCATTACCTGGCAGGAGGACTTCCAGCATTGGCTAGCGCTTTCCTCCCCAGCCTGATTGTCCCCGCCCCTTTCACTCTTTGGATTCCATTCTTTCAATCACGGAGGCTCAGCATCACATGTGGGCGTTACCTGGGATGATCTTCATGCAAATACAGCCTGCCTAGGACCGCCCACTCCTCTAGACTGAACCCACTTCTGCAAATACAGCCTGCCTAGGACAGCCCACTCCAGACTGACACCCTTCCATGCAAATACAGCCTGCCTAGGACCGCCCACTCCTCCAGACTGACACCCATCCATGCAAATACAGCCTGCCTAGGACCGCCCACTCCTCTAGACTGAACCCACTTCTGCAAATACAGCCTGCCTAGGACCGCCCACTCCTCTAGACTGAACCCACTTCTGCAAATACAGCCTGCCTAGGACCGCCCACTCCTCTAGACTGAACCCACTTCTGCAAATACAGCCTGCCTAGGACCGCCCACTCCTCTAGACTGAACCCACTTCTGCAAATACAGCCTGCCTAGGACCGCCCACTCCTCTAGACTGAACCCACTTCTGCAAATACAGCCTGCCTAGGACCGCCCACTCCTCTAGACTGAACCCACTTCTGCAAATACAGCCTGCCTAGGACCGCCCACTCCTCTAGACTGAACCCACTTCTGCAAATACAGCCTGCCTAGGACCGCCCACTCCTCTAGACTGAACCCACTTCTGCAAATACAGCCTGCCTAGGACCGCCCACTCCTCTAGACTGAACCCACTTCTGCAAATACAGCCTGCCTAGGACCGCCCACTCCTCTAGACTGAACCCACTTCTGCAAATACAGCCTGCCTAGGACCGCCCACTCCTCGACTGAACCCATCCATGCAAATACAGCCGGCCTGTTTCAGATTTTTTTCTTTGTGTTTTTCTTGGTTTCTCGTTAAACAGATAAAAAGTCAGACTCAGAAGAACGAAGGCAGCGTCGGGCTGTTTACTTATCCTGTGCTCCAGGCGGCCGACATCCTCCTGTACAAGTAAGTCTTCTTATGCCTTTACATTTGCCGTATTTTTAATGCCGGTTTTTATCTGTTTTCCTGCATTTGTTGTGTTAATTCACCAAAATACAAATTTATATTAAAATCTGTAGCATTTTATAGCCCAAGTCTAGGCTATGCTCCCCTCCCCCACTAGAGGGGAGTCATGTGACCAGCTGGGTCCCCTTGAAGTCTTCCCCTGGCGCGGTGGGTTGTTCCTAGTTCTCTGGATCATTACTTGGTGGGTGGGACCATGACGCCCTGCATTCACAGTATATCCTCAATCTTCCTGAACACTGAGGACACCTTGTGGTGCGGAACAGGTACTGCGATGGCAGCTCTGGACAGAAGGTGAGTTTTGCATCCTGAGCTCTTTCTGATTGGGGGCGACTTTCTTTTTTTTAAAGAACAGATTGCCCGGAGTCGGGCTTTAAATACGCACATTAGAAGGGTCCCTTTGATAAATAATGGCCTTTAACTTGATCTATATATGATAGATGATCAATATATCATCAGTATCACGGCATGCATGTACCATGTGACCTCTGCATTGTTCTGTGTCTGTCTCTTACTGGCTAGAAGAGGTCATGTGATATAATGGATTATTTTCCACCAGTTAGCACGGGGGTAGCCAGGGGTAGAAGCGAAGGAGGTCAGATAGAAGACAAGGGGAGGACGGAGGTCAGATTTAAGTGTCGCCCTCCAGCCCTGCTCAGGAAAAGCGCCTTTAATGGCCACTGAGGGGCGCTGTCATCTCAATTGGGTGGCAGCTGGGCAAGACCTAGTGTAGTAGTCATGCCCCCTAGTGACAGATTGAAGCTAAATCAGAGAGGCACACAGCAGAGGGTGTGCCAATTAAAGTAATGGCAGGCACCTTAACCCCTTCATGACCAAAGGTCATGGATTCCTTAGATGTTTTCACAGATCTGTCTTTCATCTCCTGCAGTCACTTCCTGTCTACATGCTCTCCAGCGATGGCATTTCTCAGGGTGGTCATTGGACCGCAGCTTTGTCATATGTGCTGCAATGGCCATTTGTAGTCTACATTGGAGGCCCCCGTGTCCGGGTGACAACGCAGGAGGACAGTTTGGAGACAATCGGAGAGGTTCTCTCTATATCCTGCTCCATGCGAGGTGCAGAGATCGCGCCGGCCTGTCATCGCCCCCTGTGATTAGGCAGCGCCCTGTAAGTGACACAATCCGCTCCGGCAGACGCTGCCGTTCCACCATTAGTCATTCGTCGTGAACTCTCTGTCAATATTACTTTTGGCCGCTATGTGCGCAGTGGGACTTGTTCTGCCGTTTTCTTTGCGTTCGCTGCCAGGACAACGCGGATTACATGTGTGTGTTTTCTCTCACGTCGGCCGTTAACCCCTTGCTGCATCGGTAATGGCCGCCGCGTTACTGCAGCTCCGCGAGGTCAGATGGGATGTGCCACCAGCATTATCGGGACAACACTAAATGAATGATAACGAAGGGTTAGAAGTGTTTCCTTTTTCTGCAAGAGGGGAGCTTCTGCAGACTTCCAGCGTGTGATCATATGACCACTGCCTTGGCCTTAGTCAGGTGACCACTTGCCTGCAAATCATGGCATAAGGACTTGGAGTAAATAAATGGTCTAAAACCCCCCCCTAATCGTTTTTCACTCAACCATCATGCTGTAGGGCTCGTTCACCCCCAGATGCAGTGCGTTCCGGCCCGATTCTGGCCAGAACGCACTGCCCCTCATTGCGGCCGGCTCACTATTTTGTGGAGCAGGAGGGGGCGTGGCAGCCCATTGAAGTGAATGGCACCGTAGCCACGCCCTCCGGCCGCAATGCAATCGGCCGCACGGGATTGCAAGGCACATTATGCCTGCGGTGCGGTCCGGTGCGATCAGAATAGTGCTTGCAGCATTTTGATCGCACCGGACCAGACCACAGGCATAATGTGCCTTGCGATCCCGTGCGGCCGATCGCAGTGCGGCCGGAGGGACTTGGGCTTGGCTACGGTGCCATTCACTTCAAATAGTGATCCAGCCGCAATGCATTCTGGCCAGAATCGGGCCGGAACGCACTGCATCTGGTGTGAACGGGCCCTTATTGTATTCAGTGTTTAAGCACATTTGTTGAAAAGTTTATTCCCAGAAGATCCTGTCAGTAATGGCACTTCCTGTCACAGGCTGACAACGGTAAGCCGCCGCCTTCCAATTAGTAACAGTGTTGTCAGTCTGCTATGTGCGCTTCTTCAGTTGGGGGACTGCCCACCATGTCTTTGTTTCAATTTGTAGCTCTGTTACAACTCTGATTCAGGTTCATTATAACTACTTCAGCCCCCCCAACACCCCTTATAGGCCAGAGCAGTTTTTACACCTCTGCTATGGCCTATTGCTTCGGCAATGACTGTCATTACTTAGATAACAAAATAATACATACTGTATATCAATTTTTTTTTTAGGATGAACAAGGCTTTCTTTGGGTGATATTGTCTTGCAAAATGTATTTCCTTTTTTTTCATGCAACCCATAGACAAAAAATATGTAACAAAATAAAAAGATGAACTTTACTTCTATTTGATTAGTGTTTGTAAAAACGTTTTTACTGTAGATGAAAAATATATAATATATTCTATCACGTATTCCTTTTATATGACACTAAATGAATATCTTGGTACAAAGCATTGCAAAGTTTTTTAGAAATGAAACAAAAGGCTTGTTAGTTATTTAGGGCACGTGAGTTATAAACAATGTTACTTTGTATCTCTCTATCTCCCTATCTCCCTCTGATCAATGTTTATAAACAATGTTACTTTGTATCTCTCTATCTCCCTATCTCCCTCTGATCAATGTTTATAAACAATGTTACTTTGTATCTCTCTATCTCCCTCTGATCAATGTTTATAAACAATGTTACTTTGTATCTCTCTATCTCCCTCTGATCAATGTTTATAAACAATGTTACTTTGTATCTCTCTATCTCCCCACTGATCATTTTTTATAAACAATGTTATTTGTTATCTCTTTATCCCCCTCTGATCAATGTTTATAAACCATGTTACTTTGTATCTCTCTGTCCAACCTATCCTGTGTATTTACACGAATTGTAATTTTTGTAGACATGTGTAGCTCACCCTTTGTCCACAACTGATTAATTATAAGATAATTATTGCACCCCATGTAAAGGTCTTGGTGCTATGTATACCAATGATGCTTTATTAATATTTTATTGTATCTGGGCTTTTCTGTCAGGTCCACCCATGTTCCGGTTGGAGATGACCAATTGCAGCACATGGAGCTCACTCAGGACACAGCTCGGATCTTCAATCACCGATACGGACAGCTTTTTCCCATTCCCAAAACGCTGACGAGTAAGTGACCTCCCTCTACGTGCACCCCTCGACTCTTCATCACACCTTCTGTGCTCCTGTTTATTTATTTTTTCTCTAATCACACAGCATTAGCCTAAACTAAGCCATTTGCCACCCATCAGTTTGTTTGACCAGCAGAAAATATCCCAAACTGGACAGTTTCCATACAATTTGTGAGATCAGATCGACCTCCCTGTCTACCTGCGCTCCAGCGATGGCTGCATGACATATCTCAGGGTGGGTTTCCTGATGGTGACTAGGTGGACCATGCTTGTGAAATGTGTCTTGAAACTGCAGCTTGTGGTCACCATTGAAAGTCAATGCTGCCAATTGCTAAGAAGCGCTTATTATTGGTCAGGTGACCGTGTTGACCAATGAGCGCTCACTATTTATGAACGTTATTTTGAATGCTCAGTGCAGGGCGGCAGCACGGTGTCTGGTCTACGTACTGTACACCAGCTGCCACAGGAGGATGGCGCTTGAAGACAAAGGTGTGACCGGTGGGGAGAGGGGGCAGATTTGTGTGTAATTTTGTTTTCTCGCATTCAGAGAGAAAGTGGAATTATCCGTTACCTTTTTGTTTGGCTATCAGAAGGAGGCTTAAAAGCCCCCCCCCCCATGTGATAGCATAGTGCAGGTGATAGGTTCACCTTAGCGAGACATCAGTAGTCTATCGGACCTCTATAACCACCTCCGCACTCTATTAAAGCTGGTCTGGCATCCCTGATGGAGAAACTGTAGTTTGACAGTACTTAACCCAGAACTGCTCACAGCTGAGCTCTTCCGGGTTCATTCTAACAAGGGGACATCAGCAAATGGATATATACTGATCTGCCCCTGCTTCCCGTTCATGAGCTAAAGCAGAGACACCGGCACTCCAAATTTGCAAAATACGTCTATTTATTGACGTGCATCGTGGTAAAAAACAACGTTTCGGGGTCACAAAGGATCCCCTTCATCAGGTAAAACATACAATATATGTTTTACCTGATGAAGGGGATCCTTTGTGACCCCGAAACGTTCGTTGTTTTTTACCACGATGCACGTCAATAAATAGACTTATTTTGCAAATTTGGAGTGCCGGTGTCTCTGCTTTAGCTCACGATTGTTACGGCTGCCACCCGTTGACTACCGCAGCACCCAATTCTTGAAGGGATTCACGCGGTCAGGAGTGCGATAGGGCCATGGACTATCTATGCTTCCCGTTCATGACACCCACCATAGGTCTAGGGCACCCAAGAGGGATAGGTAAGTACGGGATGCAAGAGGGGGGGCACACCTTTACGCAAATGTAGAAGTAATAGGGCTGCGCAAGTCACTTCTACAAGCTGTCAGCCTGCAGGAAGGAGTGCACTGATGATATAGTGCCCAGGAATATCTGTAGATGTTAATATAACTTCTTGTGCACTGAACTGAAATCATTTTGTCGGCTTTCTCAGCTATCTTCTCTGAACTACAGCACACCACCCCCATTGCTGTCCATCCATACATAGAGATGTGTTTAATAATTGTGCTTTCCCCCCTAACTTGCTCCCCCCCGAAGAGATCTGAGGCCTCGGCTCACCCGCCTTCCCAATGAGATCTCCCTTTTTAATGAGCCTCGCCTTTGCTTTGGCAGCCGGAGGTCACGGCGGCATAGCCGGAGGTCACGGCGGCGTAGCCGTCGTCTTTGCTGCTGAGTTTTATATTTCGTTTCTCACCACTTTTTCAGCCGACTTCAAGAAGATCCGTTCCCTTCGGGACCCCGCGGCAAAGATGTCCAAATCCGACCCCCAGAGACTGGCCACGGTGCGCCTGACAGACCCGCCGGACGAAATCACACTCAAGTTCCGCAAGGCGGTCACAGACTGTACCTCCGAGGTGACCTTCGACCCCGAGGGCCGCCCGGGGGTCTCCAAT